CTCAATGAACCACTGACGCCATAACCTGCGTCCGTTCATGTGACAACCGTGCACTTTCCACCGAATACTTCGTCCATTTCACTTTTCTCCACAAACCCACATTCACTTCAAGAGTGCATCTTGCATATGTGAACACATTCACGATAGTCCATTCCAGCAAGGCATCACTTCACTTCCCACCATCTGGAGTTGCTTTGAGTTCCATGTAAGCAGTTGTCGCATTGGGATGGCCGACAGGTTAACCAGAGACAATGGTGCCGTGGAGTTGGTTGGTAATTCAAATGTGTCATTACTAAGTGGTCGAATAGCAACGCCGGCCTAACGATATGTGTAGTGTACGTCTTGGGAACAGTGGATAGCAAATTGACGTAGACAATATGCGAGTTTAAAAGTAATTGTGATTCCTCCAAGATGTCCTACTCATTGCGTGATTCATTCCACGGTTTTTTCATCCCTAAATCATAATAATTTGCAGAAGTTATACAGATTTTATGCCTTTTAAACACAAGGGCAACCTAGCGTGGTTTCTGTCTGGGAATTGCTTTTCCCGTGAGCCACTGTGTTGACATTACGAATATGGTCTTGAGCGACCGTCTCTAGTATCAAGTTTGAACTATCATGAAGCCAGGCATAATGATTACTGATTAAATTGTCTATGGTACATAAATGACTAAAATAGACCCATTTGGTAAAAATTTCGAAAAAGTACATCCGGAAGCCTCTTTTCCTACCTTAACTCATATTTACGTGGGGAAGCAGCTCCGCGAGTGGAGTTGTGTTGTAAGGCTTCAACTGATGTTCTCATACGACCCCGTCAAAGGAAGTCAGCTCACCAGTTGCAGGTGTACATGTCTACCATTTCAAAGCAAAAGCTTCATGGGTTTGTTACTGTCCCAACCTTTTAAGTGCACAGGAGACGATTCAAAAAGGCAGTTAGTTTGGTTAAGTGAAACTTTCTGCTTAAATGTTTGAATGTACCAAAAACGAATGGGTAAGCTAAATATAACACAGTATCTAGAAAGTGCGTTCACCCATGTCAAGATTTGTTCAACAGTCAACTTAGTCATTACTACTATAGTCTGCTTGTTTTGGACTTTAACACTGAAGTTATAAACAGTTCCTCTGTAAAAACGTGGTTTAAAATCCATAGAAGTGCAGTTGGGGGATCAGTCTACCTGGTAAAGTCGGAGATCTGGTTGATCTGAGGCATGTAGAAGACTATTTGTGCAACTATTGAACTATTGTCTTGATATTGAACATAATGCATTGCTTTCCTACTAACTGCCTGCATCTTCTGGCAATCACAAGTATCGCATTGTTAGCAGAGTTACAAACATTTTGAAAAAATGCCCCTGGAAGTTTGTAACTCCTTTTGTGTGCATTTAAAACCTCACGAACAAAAACAACGCCGTCAATTACTTGTCTACTTGGCAGTAAAATTGGGTTTTTTGTTGTGTAACGCTGCTGTTTTTCGCGTCCAAAAGCTCTAGCGTCATTTCACGAGCTAATTACCCTCTCCGTGTGCAGCCAGCAGCCGCAACAGATGATATCAGTGAAGCTGTGACCAGCAGTCTACTGCAGTCTATAGGTTACAAAGCTCAGGCGAAAAATCACGAGGAAGGGTTCATTCGGATAATTAGATCCTAGTCACAAGACACAATTATCTCTTTTGTCCAAGATTAAAGGCTAATTTAAGCATCTACGTCTGTTGCTTGATTGCGCATTCAGCATTTTGCGTAATACGATTCTCAGTATCACTATGTCTTTTCTTCAACAACTCCTGATCACGTGGAGAAACCCGCGCGTTTGTTTTTTTTCGTTCAGTTTGCCATCTCTTTTAGTAGCACTGTCGGTTAAAACGAGAAACCACCTTTCTTCTCAGAGTAACTAAATAATTAATCTGGGCAAGCAAAAACTACGCCACGTAGCATTGGTTTAACGTCAACTCAAAGTGTCATCTATGCTTGCTGGTGATTTTGTGACTTGCAATACATGGATTTACTACCTATGGAAGGGTCCAGCGGAGTTCATCTCTAGATTCAACAGACGCCCTCACGACCAGATCCACGTGAATCGTGTCATATCACAAGGCAGTAGAGTTGCAGTTAGCATATCCTAAACACGTTTTTACCTGGTCATGTGTTTACAACTTTCTCGTTCTTCTACTGAGCATTAATCTTCCAGATCCTCATGGTCGCATAACTTCAATTCCTGCTAATTCAATGCCAAACGCGCTAGATTAACTAATTACAATATCAATGGGATTTATGGACATTTTCACTTTTGAGGCAAAGCAAGGATGGGCCACACCTTACTTTGCGACGCACTTTTGGTTTGCAAAAACAAATGCATGCGGGTTTTGTCTGCACAAGTTTAAACTGATCAGGACGGCGAACATTTTACGCTCGCGTCGAAAATTCCTGAACATAGCTCAACTCTGGTGATATCAATTCAGTTGTGGATAATCCATATAATAATGGCGATAGTGCTGGCGGTGAGAATGACGCCAGAACTTAAAAACACCACCAACTATTCAAAGGTCAATCCTCCACCATCACAGTTCCAATCAGTGAAGTGTGCCAATCTACTCAATCAACCGATTAACTGCGTTCTTACACCATGGGCTGCCTATTCACCGAGGAGAATCCTGTCACAGTGACGAAGGTGATTTGGTTGGCGCAAATAAGATGACGGCAGTTTTATAAAACTCTTTAATTTGCAGAATCTAACGTGCGAATGCTAACTTGTGAAAGGTGATCCCTTGAAGATTAAAAAGCGTTTTGAAGTGTTTTACTTGTACCGGGGTAAAGTGCGGTGGAACTTCGGGGTAATTTAAATCTGCTCAAGATTTTGAGGCAACTCAGCCACTGTGCTAGTTCTAATCGTAATTGAATAAATCGCGTTCCCACAGTCTGTAAATTTCATTATTCATCTTGTGGATGGTTCACCTTTCGCTTCTCCGCTTCCCATTCTCAACCGTGAAAATTTTGAGGGTTCTGGACTATACCTAGCCATCCCTTATTGTATATGAAAGAATTTACGCCTGTAAAGACGATGACTCGCGCTGTTTCCCATTATTGTCGAGTCTGCTTTTATTACAAATTACAAGATTAGTCTAGCAGGAAAAGCAAATGACCTAGTGAAGCTTTAAAAAATGCATTTTGACCACAACAAACTTAAACGGATGTCCACGTTCAGCACGTTTGACGACAAAATGTCAGATAATTAAGCGTTCTTCTAAACGCAGAACTAGCCCACTAAGTCATAATGAATTTTTGCGTTTTGGGGGGTTTACAAATAATGCATGATAAAATGCATTGAAATGACGATATTAGCAGATAAAATAGTTAAGGTAATTAAACCAGGCCTTGACTAAATGAAGCAACCAAAGACAAGCAGGAAAAAGAATATTCCCAAAACATCAGCCTCATCAGTGAGATTTCTCAAATTTCTATTGTCTGTGTAGGAACTACTTTTCAACCTAATCACAATCAACCAATCACAGGAATTGTCGGAGAATTTTGTTACTACTGGCATAAAACAAGCCCTAACTTCAAAAATAAGTCCTTAGCAAATAAACAAAGCGTGGTCTAGTAACTGAAGCCGCATTGATTAAATAGTTTGAGAGCGGAGGTGATTGGTCGGTGACTTTAGTGTTCCGGAAACACTCAGAGCAATGAGAATGTCATGCGTAAACTTAACCAAATACTGGATGTATATTTGGCAATAGCGTAATAATTAGTTATGTACCAAGCGTTTCCCTGGAGGTGTGCACTATACAGGGTCATAAAATAGGTTTAGGAGCCGGAACTTGCAATTTGGGAGATAAATGCAACTGAATCTGCAGGCGAGTGTTAGATTCCGGTGAAAGTTACCACCGGCTGGAGTTTGCCAGTTTGTCATTCACACAAATATAGACTAGCTGGTGTCTGTTTACTCTTGAATTTCCAGGCACATGTCCATTCTTGAAGCCGACAAACTGTGGAGACTCTTCATATACGGATTAAATTGTCGAACAAAAGCAGCTTGGTTGGGTGGTTGCAAGCCAATGTAAGCTGGTCTGGAGGTAGTTTAAATGTATCCTTAATTGAATCGGGTGATGCCTGTGGTGATTAGACGACAGTCAGGAGTAAACAACATAACCAAATTGACGGCGAATTTATCTTAACATCTAATGGCATTGCGAAATGGTGCTTTTGATTTCTAACAATAAGAATCACCAGTTTTGGTGGGTCTTAATGCCTCCCAAGACTTCATCGTATTTAATTAATGGCATCACTTAGTGGGCTTAAAAACAAAATTGCTATAAAGGCTTGCGACAGTCCCATCCTTTTAATTAAAAGTTACCATTTTCAAGAAACAGCGTATAAAGAGGCTTAGCAATCGAAATTTGGAATACAACTTCTCGAAACCAATGGCATTTTGTCATTTTTAAGTTATCTTTTGGTAGCCAAAACAAATATATAGCGCCAACAGTGACCGTTGCTACGACGAATTTGCCGCCTGGTTACTGGCTAAAACGTGATGTAATAGCCGGCACAACTCCGAACCTCTGTATTTATTTCTCCAGAGCAAACTGTGCAGCAACTAATATGGTGGGAAATATTAACAGTCTACGCTAACTGCACTATTAACCTTGTTAAAATTCCCGGTTGTTGCACCATTGTATCTTGGGCTTGCTGAGGTTAACTCTCAATTACTCGAAATGTCCGACCTTTGACCTGTCTAGACGGTCGCACAGATTCACGTGATTGGCCGGCTGAATTGAAAGAAACGTGAAATTTCCACATCCCAATTCACCGCTTTATCACTCTGTGGACATGAAAGACATCAATTTAAACTCGTTAGACCCTATAACACTTCTGTCTCCACTTCATACTTAGCCAATTCCAAATATCACGCATCCTAGTAACCACACCGTGGATTTGGGAAGTTAGTGAAATGCATGAAATTTAAATAGGGAATAATTTTTCGTGTGACTAGCTCTGCATTCATGGTGGAAATAAATTTGAGCACAGAGTAGCACAAACCTCACAAACGCCGTCCGTAACCTCCTTTGATTTGTACATCCATAACAGCTGAGCTCGTCTAACAGCTGGGAGAGGTATTAGATGGGACTTGTAGTAACGGCAATCACGGTAATTGTAGTTGTCTTAGTAAAGTAGCCGAGGTGGGTAATGCTAATCCGTGCGTGAGTGGGAGTGTGTGTGTGTGTGTTAAGGACGGGCAGATGGAAAGAACCATAGACAGGATTTGTGCATTCACTAGCGGCCACTGGGCACGCGTGTACACCACGCACGCACACGCACACACACACACACACAAACACACCTGACATACCTGGTCGGGAGGGGGGTGGGCCGGGAGAGGCGGCGGGCTGCTGCATCGGTGAGCGTACAAGCATGCGCGCGGCCAGGTGTCGCGTGCACGCGTTCACGGTGCACCTGCCAGTGCATGAGTGCATGAACGTCCCGCACACACGGACGCACTTGCGCGCGTGCGCACGTGAGTGCGGCCGAAAGTTAGTGGCAGTTGTGGGGGCTTTTTCCTAATTTCGCCTGCCCTGTGTGGGTGTTGTGAGGTCGTCGTCGTCGTCATCGTCTCTGCCGTCGTATTCAACGCACCATGCTGTCGTTTGACACACGTGTGGGTACAGGTGACAGGCCCATAAACCGGTTTTGACAAGCTAGCCCCCTGACGACTTGCGTGGCGGGTGATAAAATTTTTGACCAAATAAGCTTCAAAACTGTAATTGAAATCTCGAAAAGATGTTGTGAATATGCCCCAAACCTCAAAAGGCAACGGCTTCAGTGCCCCTTATGCGAGTTTGTTGTTTATATAATCGAAACAAGTGAAATAAATAACTTTAGATCTGACACTTCAACAAATAGCCATGACCTGAATAGTGTGTGTAAGCTGTCCGTTTCGGGAAGAAATAAGAGCTTGGTTGCGTCAGGTGAACACATCGGGGTCATTGGTTGGTGAGCCCCCTACGTGGGACTGGGACCGACAAGTGGGTCAACGCCTGTCTGCGACCAGAATCAACTACGATTAATTGATTGCAGTTTACGATCGATATTCACTCTCACGCACGCTTGTAAGGTGGTGCAGGCAAACCACCGTAAATGCACAGAATGATGGATAAACTAGGGTTTGATTAGGCCGCGTTGACAAACATGTTTGAATGTGTTTGGATCAAACGGTATCAGGAAATTCGTCGGGATGGGATGTACAGACATTCGACTTTGGTTTCACACACTAACAAGCCAGATTATGTTAAGCTTTGTACAACTAAGAATCTTGAAGTATTATAAGAACCCCATCCATTCAAATGCAACTATGTGGTTACGTAACGTGAATCAAACAACGATAAACTCTGTTCGATATCTACTGACGTACAGCACACATATCGTTAGACCGGCGTTGCTATTCGACCACTTAGTAATGCCACATTTGAATTACCAACCAACTCCACGACGCCATTGTCTCTGGTTAACCTGTCGGCCATCCCAATGCGACAACTGCTTACATGGAACTCAAAGCAACTCCAGATGGTGGGAAGTGAAGTGATGCCTTGCTGGAATGGACTTTCGTGAATGTGTTCACATATGCAAGATGCACTCTTGAAGTGGATGTGGGTTTATGGAGAAAAAGAAATGGACGAAGTATTCGGTGGAAAGTGCACGGTTGTCACATGAACGGACGCAGGTTATGGCGTCAGTGGTTCATTGAGTTGCCGCACGCGGAACTGCTTGTTGAATGTGGAATGTCGCGGATGTGGGTGAACGAAGTGCGGCGATAGCCTGCGTCCTGTTCAAACTTTGGTTAGAGCACAGTCCATGGACAAAATCGAATTGCGGTGTGTGGTGTTTGGTGGAGAATACGGAGGAGAGACTAAGGAGATCGTAGGGCAATGTTGGGAAAGCGTTTTGACTTCATTGGTTAATTGAAACTCCAAATGCAATCGAAATGGAGGCTGTACCGGCACCATTACTAACTTCATCCCATGCCACTCAATGCGCAAACGAATTCACGTGACTTGCCTGGGAAGATGAACTGTTGTTTTTCTGCCGAATTTCGCATTGGGTGTGGTTTCACAGGACCGAAAGGAAGGGTATGTGAAGTACAATTATACGTAGAACCAATTCTCGTTGCATTCCGCATCACTGGTGCTTCGACACGAATTATCGCGTGAGACACATGGTGAAGGCCTTTTAGTACCATTGGTCTCTGCCTTGAAACAATGGTTTGGTAAATCTCGGTGGTGTACAGTCTTTAAATAAACACGACCAGGAACGATAGCTTATTGGGTGATGAGGGAATTTCCAAAATCATGTTTCCGTCCTAACCAATATCTTTTACAAGCTCAGAAGTAGCTTGAGTGGCATGATGTGGTGATATTGTGGATTTGTTGTATAGGGTGTAGGCGGAATCGCTGAAATTGCTTAAATCATGTGTTCAACGACCTGAGTAAGATTGTGGAAGGATTAAAACTAAATCTCGAGTTGGAAAAAATTGTGCTAGAAGACTTGTATTCGAAACAGAACAGGACACTAAGTTGTGGGACTTAACTTCGAGTGGATTAGACAAAGAGCAACATGGAGTTGCGCGGGAGCTTGTAAGCTTGAGTATTTGAATGATCGTTGTGAAAATTAGCAGATTCGCATTGAAGCAGAGCCTGGCAACCACGAATTGTCCAATTCCTTGCTCCTATTGACTAACGGACCCGCCTTGGATGGATGAGAAAAGGTAGTTTACTGACCAATCAGTTTGGTCGATTCTTTAACATACCCCAGGTTAGGGGAAGAATGAATGCTAATACGACATCAGCAGTCTGGCAGACAACGTTTTGTGAATGAAGCCTCCAAGATACCTCATCTACACTCATCCAAATTATCTGCAATTTTTATGTCGCCGACTAAATCTAATTTAAACCTAATCCATGCAAATTAAGTTCACCACCGAAATGGCTGATGTATTTAAACAAGACATCTTTTTGAGTAAGATGTTTTTTGCATGCGCAAAGTATCAGTAAACCTTGGTTTGTGCTTCTTATTGACATCAGAAGTCGTTATTTAAAAAAGTGTGGTTTTCGAAAAGAAATAGCAAGTATTATTTAGGCGAACTAGATTTTGCGAATGCACGGCACAGGACATTGGGATATCTGATCGTTTCTTCGATGTTGGCACATTTTCCTATCGAAGTATTCAACAGGAAGGTGTGGAAATTAGAGTTGTGCATCTTGCATTCGAAACTTCACTGCCAAGGGAAAATTTTTTTACGAAGCCGAATGTTTGATTGTGTACCACTAGAGTCCGTTAGGCACAGGATACTGTTTGCGTTCACATCAAACACCTGGCATATTTGTGGTCAGTTCTTTCATGATAAGCACCACAACCAAAATTTGCCTTGGTTGTCCTCTCATCCGAATATAGGTACATTAAACAGTTGAAGGAATGAGAAAAGGTAGTTAACTGACCAATCAGTTTGGTCGATTCTTAAACATCCCGTGGGTTGGGGGAGAATGAATGCTAATACAATGCCAGCAGTCTGGCAGACCACTGTTGTCGGTTTTATTGGTGTTCTTCAACTCTGAAATGAGACGGCTGAAATGTTTTAAAACAAAAGTCTGTTAAAGATCGATTTGCTTCAAATCGTCTTATCTATTTTCACTGAACCACTCACATTACCAACTCATTTTTGACTGATTTAAGAACGTGGGCTGTTGTTCGTGTGTTCTTATTTCGAAGTTCCGTTCATGAAAAATCTTACCATTTTGTAGCCATCTGTTCAAATGTTTTCGCATCAATTTTCTAGTTGCGCCACCTTAAAAATGTCAAACTCATGAATTTGAGAAAATGATGAGCAGCAGGAACGAATAAAGCTGTCTCTAAATGCATTCGATTTTGAGTATGACTTGTTCACATTTGCAGTAGAAAGTTTTAAGTGGTAGTGGACAGCCCAGACGGCCTGAATGCTAGGAAAAGACGGTCGGATAATTACCTGGGTGTCTCCTATCCTCATCCCAGTAAACAGAGTATAGCTCATCAAGTAATTATCCACCAATAGGATTCATTTGTAGCCATTTCGTCAAATTGGACGAAACACAAGTGCGACACAGTTGAACTCAACATCTTATTGGTGAATATCCAAAGCCTAGCCAAATTGAGGGCCAATCAGAAGTAACTGGATGGGCATGGCACACTTTTCCCTAACTTCAGAATCTGTTAATTAGTCGACCGAATGATCAATCGTTGTGTAAGCGACTACTGTCAGTCGAAGCAGTTAATGTGAGCTGTTGTTGGCTTGGCAGGTGTGTTTACTAGAAACCGCGCCCTAGAAACGACAGAGACGATTAATCATGGTCTGACAGCTGAGTAGTGTGTATTTATTTCAAGCTTACCTTTTAAGTAATGAGGAAATTTTCAAGGTGGATAGTCGAGTCAATCTCATAGCTCTATACACTGGTTCAGTGAACTTCCTTAGATGTTTCTCTGGATGAATATAAACACCATCCATGTCACAATTCGTGTTGAAAGTTTTGAGCCTAGGTAATTAAATTTGAGTTATTCTTTGAAGGAACTGCGACAGGCAGCAACGCCATTGCTTTTTGTCTACACAGAGAGTTTCATTGTTAGTTAATCAACTGACAATATTTACAAGACAAAAAAACGTTGACGAAGAAGAAATAATTGAAGTATTTTTTAAACCATCATGTCTCCGTTAGAAGTGGAGGCTGATTATTGGTCAGTTGTCAATAAAAGTGACCCAACTACATAACTGCGAGAGTGACAACTGACTGTCCATTAATTCAGGATTGAGTTGAGTTTATAATCTGGGATACCATAATTCCTCAATCCTGATTGGTGGTTGGTATAGGAGCCAAATCCCCATTATGACAAAAATCGATTGAGGCAAGGAGCAGATTTACGCATATGTAACTTTTCTAATTAAAAAGTAGGGCATTTTGAAAAATGAACCCAAAACTAATTTGGGCACCGATTGGAGAAGTCCTGGTGTAGAGTAAGGCTTTGTGTTTCCTATGTTGTGCTATTAACACTTAGATGACTAGGTAAAACTTTAGACCACTTACCCTAATCACAGTTGGGCAATTACTAAATTAATTTTTTTTAACGCCAGTGTTCCCTTTCTATCCAGTAAAAATTTGTTCCTTTATTGGGACGGTTAGCGAATGCGCAACAGATTGCATTCTTATGTTGATAATATGTGACCAATAATTACCGAGATTCCAAGAAAATTGCTTTTTGGCCCCACCACCAAATTCAGTCACTTCACCATTCAACAAACCAACTAAGTAATGCCTTTCTGAACTCTCGAGACACCGTTTGAAATGAAGAGGAGGACTTAATCCAGTAGGAAAATTGTACCACGTAAATGTCACACGTGGTTGCTGTTTTTTTTCGTCAGTTAATTTTCGTGGTTAAAAGTTAGTCAATCAATGCC